ATTTCTTCTATGCGTCGAGTTCAAAGTTTAATATTAGTGAAATGGTGTCTGCCTTAAAAATAATAGCAATGGATTCTGAAAATACACGTAAGGACGCATACTTTTCTTGAAGTTTCTTTAAATTTAGTTTTTATTATAATGACTAAATAAGTTAATAAATCAATTCAATTTTTAAGATATTTTATCAACGTTTTGGTTTTCTCGAAGGGTTTAGTTAAATGTGTCGTGAGATAGTCTCAAAATATTTACAAAACACTTAGATTTAATCGTTATTATTACGATCATTGAGAAATTACATGGTCTTAGATGTCCTTTCTCAATACATCAGAACTTTAGTATCAGTGATCGTTGATATTAACTCTATTTTAAATTTGTTTAAGAATCAGATGGAGGCTCAAACTTAAGAGTGGTAGCAAGGCAAAGTCTGTTCGATATAATACAACGGCAGTTGTTGGTAAATCAACGTTTGAAGAAAAAATGTAAATATTTGTCAACAGCCCTTTTACCGCCTAATATTTATTCCGAAGTTATTTTATTGTTTGTAAAATAAAAAAAAATGTTTTTTTTATTTGTTAACTACCACAAACTACTTGTTTTATTTTAAAATATGATAAAAGCTCCTATACAATAATAAAAGTTACGTAAATGGTTTTGACCGGCTAGACCGGCCTTTTTTTACCCCTATTTGTGACAGACGTATGCATTCCGAAGGAGAAAAAATAAAATAAAATAAACTACGTAAATACTTATGTCTTATGTGTGTCGTATTATGTCAATGTGTACTCTTATATCGACTAAATACTTAAATAATATTTGCAATATATACATACAATTTTGTTCACAACACTGTCCAATAAAATCATCTTTTTCAGGTTTGTTTGAAAAAACAAGTATAAATACGCGATTTAAATCCGGAAAAATAGTTTCATTTCCTAAAATCATTTTTTATAAATAAAAGTTGTGTTAAATTATCAATGAATTGTGGTACTAAGGTGTGGATTATGTTATTATTTTAATCATCTCATTGTAATTTATTAAATAGTAATAAGTACGATATCGTTCATGATATTAATCAATAAATCAATATGCAATATATTAGCTATTAACAATTTTTATTTGTTTCAACTTAGTTTCAAATGGTTAAGAGGTAGCAGAGGAAAAATTCCTAATCTTCGATTTGATTTTAGAGGTGTATATCCACTTTAAAGTTAAAAATAAAATATTGTATGAGTAACTACACGATATATTCAAGCATAGACACTAATCAGAAACATAAAACAAATCAGTTTCCTCGTTAGATAACAATCACGAAATGACCTCCAATTTTCACATTTTTTCGATTCATCCTTGAAATGCTACAGGTTATTAGGACAAAAATTAGATAATTAATTATATTTATGCATGATCGAGAGTCACTACGGATTTTTTTTTATCCTTTTAGTTTTACAGTTATTCCGCTAAAACGAATTTGGTACTTTTAATGCGCAAAATTCACCATCCCCTGTCGCATGTCACGCGAACTTCAGGCATATATTTGTTCCACAAATTTGGGCGGAGCCAACGTCAAAACTTTTTTGGCATGAGAGCTCTTAACGGTAACTGAAAAGGTGATAAGGATTTGGAGAGACAACGTCAAGCTTTCTCTACGATCACCATGATCACCAGAAGATTTTTTCTATACTTGTCAACTTTGGATAGACTACACAAAGACGTCTCACGATGCTTTACGTGTTCAGTACTACGATACATACAGACATGATGGGCCTATGCGGCACTGTGGCGCTTCTGGCATGTTCTGCGCTCGTATTGACACGTTCTGTACCATGTGTAGCTTCTTTTATGAAAAGGCTTGGACAGAGAAGTAATGACTTAATTCGAGAGGTGTTTTCTTGCCTGACTACCACGTCCATGTACAACCGCTGGTCGACATTGCTCCGTAGCTAGAGCTTGACTGAATTAAACTTATTTTGAATATTTTTTTTGTAATTTGACGTATTTAATTTTAATTTAATTAAAACATCTCATATGTTTTATGAAATTATGAGTTTTATTTTCTTAACATGGTTTCCGAACTAAAATGAACATTTATTATTATCATTTATTTAAAGAAATTATTTCGTTTTCCCAATAATTCATTTAAAGGTTGGTTAAGCTACTTTTAGATCCAAAAATACCGGCGCGAACATTAACTGGGGTACATTTTCCGCCTTCTTACTGCCTTAGAAACCGTATGGTTTCTCGGAGAGTGTGTGTAGAAATTTTTCAATTTAGTTCCACTTTCATCATCCCTTCTTCTATTGTCTAGAAAGTCCAGAATATTCTGAAAATTACAATTGAAGGCTATTCTACGAAAGGGTAAAAAGCCTAGAGTGTATCTATTTTTACATTAAAAAAAATTAAATTCAGGTTACTACAATTTTCTTTTTTCAAAAGAAAATTGGTTTCTTTCCTTTCTTAATCATAGTCGTCTATTTTTCTTCATCATCAATGACCACGTTGCATAAAATTAGTTTTTAAAATGTTTAAATGCTAATAAAAACGTACGGGCTTATTATTGAAATGATGACAACGACCTGACGAACACGTTTAGAATGAAGTTATGTACACGAACCGTTGCGGGTCGTGAGGAAAACGACACAAACTATTATAAGCCGATGGAATCTCTACTACTGACATAGTAACATGAGTATGACGCGTATTTGATAATACAGGCTGTTAATGAAATGTTTTAGAATATTATAAATGGTAGTGTGCTCTTTAATAAGAACTAACAATGCAGCAGTTTAAACATGAAAAATAATTATAACAAACTAGTGGAGCAATATAAAAAAAAATTGAATGTCAATTCAATAAAAATTTAAAATACAGCGAATAGCGACAAAACTGGGTGATAAATCTTTCATAGATTTCTCATAGATGGCGCTACGACTAAAAAGTCGTTGAAAAAACCAAATACAAAGACACGACGCAAGCACATAGAAAAATTCGTAAGGTCCGCTGGTTCGTTCCGTGGTTTAGTTGGTATAGCGTCTGGCACGGTAAGCTAGAAGACGTCAGTTCGAATTCGGCCGGATCGAAAGGGTTTTTTCTGAGTGTTCGATCTTTGTATTAATAATTATAACAAACTAGTGGAATGATTTCACAAAAAATAATTGAATATCAATTCAATAAAAATTTAAAATGAAAAATAACATATTTAGGAATTTCCACGTAAGCTCACACCTACTGATTATTTGAGTTATTGATTTGGAAACTCAATATTTCATAGCACTCTATATGTGTGGATGCCCACATGCGAGGTGTAACCTGTTTCTAATTTAAACAATTTTGAACACTATGTGAGAAGACGTAGAGTTTATCTAAAGAATTTAGACGGAGTAAAATACCTGTGGACCTGATAAGACTCGATTTCGTTTAAATGCTACCGTTCCTAAAATGTAAATGTCAGTCGAGGGAATACTTTTATCGAGGTGAACCCTAGCTAAATAAACATGAAGATAGAGTGTTTTATTGTTTTTGCTTTTATTCCGTGGTACGGTAAGTAATCTTTTAAGTTAAATTTCCAATAACTTTTTTGCATAATTGTACTTTTGTATTTGGTAATACTTTAAAACGCTCGTCGTATAATCAAGAAAACGTGTATTAATTTCGATTTTAGGTTTTTTTGCTCAGTCGGGTTTTTTATATTTTTGGTTATTATGCTGAGTTATTTACTCGAGGAAAAGCAAGGCAGCATTATATATATTTTTAAGGTTTTTATGCAGCACAAATTAAGGATCTGGTTTTACTAAAGGTGCGCAGGAGTCTGGTTCGCTCAACTACAAGTTTTATCCAGAGCTGAATGGATGGTTGAAACTACACACCGCCATTAAAGCGTTTGATGGAGCTAAAAAGACTTGTGAAAATGAAGGTAGGTCAATGCGTTTTATCTATTTCGTCATCCCAATAAGCTATTTTCACGACGGCTTCCCAATAAGCGATTTTTTCGACACCAGTCTGGAAACGTGTAGAAAAAGAAACCTGAAGTAGTTATATGGGCATCTCGTATAAAAAGTTCGAGTCCGGTTATTTAATCAGGATGCAAATTCTAAATGCTTTAGGGCTCATTCAGAGTGCAGGCGTGGGCGCGGCGGCTGGCGCGGTCTCGCAGGTCTTGGCGTTTTCCTTTTCATAGTGCCGAAGCGGCTACGAGCGGGTAGATCCACACGTCGAAATCCCAAACAGACGCTTGACCAAACACTGTGAAAGTTACGGGCGGACCGAACCAATATATTTAACCGCGCGGCGAGCGTGCACCCGCGACCGTGCCCGCCCGTGGGCACTGTGAATGCAAGTCCACGAATATTTAACTTACGCGCACTCGCGCCTGCCGAGACTCTGAGTAAGGCCTTAATTTAGGTGTAACGTATTCTTTGTGCAGATGCTATCCTTGGGTCCCCAACGGGCCTGGACCTTCTCGAGAAGATGAAGGATCTGACGCGGGATGGCTTCAACGTACCTACTAGTATCTACACGGGAATAAAAACTTACAATGGAGCATATTTTTCTATTGATCGTAAGTATGGTTTAAGATTTTGTCTCAATACGTACCTTAACTTTATTAATTATGCTGCTACGTGTTTTTGTTATATATCGTTGTACTGGTTTTCGGCATTCAGAGCCGACACGACCACAACTCTTTTCCTCTATCTGATCTAAATAGTTTCGTCTTGGCCAAGAAAGCTTGGCCTCCCTTCCCGTCAATCTACCCTTCTAAGGTGCTTCTAAGAAAACTTTTCTCTTTGACTTCTCTTTTCCTGCACTATTCTTCACACCTCTTTATTGATTTTTCTTTCCGTCCAACTGGTTCCCTCCATTCTTCTCCAGCACCACATCTCAAATGGTTCTAATCGTTCGCAGTCTATCCGTGTCATCGTTCAGGTCTCACTACATATTGTGTTAAGTGTAACATTTGGAGTGCCAAATGTATACTAAATACAAGTGGAACTAATTAATGAGATTTAAACAAGTTATATCTAAGATGCTTCAGAGCTAAACCAAAAGTAGATTGCACTGGAAAGAGAGGAACAGTAGGTTACGGTTACGTTGAACCTCTTTGTGATTGTGCAATTGTTTTTTTTAATAACTTTCCTCTCGATTTTCACATATCCCGGTTCTTCGCAATACCAGGCCAGCCCTTACAAACGCGTCCAAGTTATCCCACCATCTCTTTCGTGGTCTGCCCTCTGTCCCTGTCCGTTTTCCATCCACTAAGTGCAACTGTTGTATAATGAAAACCCAAACTGTTTTCAGGTAAACCTATAGGTAAATCAGCAGCCAAGTGGGGTAAAGGCGAACCAAACTACGATAGAATCGAAGGAAAGGACATATGTCTCCTGCTTCAGCCCGACGGTACACTGGCGACGGAAAACTGCGATTCCACGCGACCTTTCGTTTGCTACAAGAAAGTTGAAAAACCGGAAGATGAGCAATGTGGTCCCACGGCTATTGACAAGGGTAACACTATTGCCATTGTTAAGCATGGTTCTCCTATAAGGATTGAGTAAAGGTTGGCACAATGCAGGTTGGAAACTTCATATGTTTTCTAACAGTTGTGAACTTTTTTCGACATACAGTTTTTCATAATGTTTTTCCTTTACCATTAGCTAGACGTATCACTAATAAAATATTTAGAAACATAGTAACTAAGAAGTTAAAGGCAATAGACGGCACCCGCTGGTTTCCACGTTACATTTATTATATGTCTTAATTTTACATATATCTGATATTTGTTTTAGACTCTTGCCTCTCCCATGGCATAAACAACAACTTTGAATCATAATAGCAATTTAACAGGATATGATAGCTGGTATGCTCCAACAATAATACAGTCGACCGGGGTTAGGGACTCAGGTTTAAGAACCACCGAACGCGATATCAGTTTAGACATATTACACTTACACTTTTGTTACCGCGACGGGCACCACACAAAATATCTTTATACATTGTCCTTGTTTATCTTTCTGTAAATAATTTTGTGATTTAATTGAGTACTTGCTTTGTTTGTGATTTTATTTTGTAATTATTTATCATTTGTGGTAGTCAAGTATATGTACTTTCGTTCTTTCTCTCTGTTTTCTCAGAAATGTGTTCAAAAGACATTCTGAGTAATCGGCTATTAAGGTTATTGTATATTGCAAGGGTATTTTGCAAACTTGTGATACCTACTTAAAATTGTCAACTCGATTGTCATTACCTTCTGCACGCTCTAATCAAACAGTGTAATATTTTTCCATATTTGTTTGTAAATTCCACCAGTCTCTGGTTCGGAATTTATACTACAATTAATTGGCGTGAGAAACTGTTTCAACTTGAATTCTTTCCAGGATGTTCTGGACAGTGTCTGTCATATACACCCTCACAGTCTATGGGTAAGGAAATGAATAAATATTAATACAAATAAATTTCTTCTTCTTTCAGAATATAGGTTGGACAAACAAACACGCAGATGCTATAAATTCGTACCAGAAGTGAAATCTTGGAATGATTCGGTCTGGAATTGTCTGGAAGAAGAAGCATATCCGTCTACAGTCTACACTGTTGAAAAAGCGTTAGCGATTAAAGAGATCTATACAAAAAAAATGTTACAAGAGAAGACAAAAGAGAAAACTAATGTGCATTTCATAGGATTCAGATATTATGAAGATGTGGAAGCTTGGTTGACTGTTTTTGGTAAGGAATCTTCTGAACGCGAAACTTTTAAACACTATAATCTCACGTCTTCTCTATATAGAACGCAACTAAGCAATCAGCTTGTTACTATCCAATGCAATAGTGACAAGTCTGTTTTCATCTACGCTTCTCACATATTATGACTTTATAATAAATTTCGAAGTACGATGTCTTGGATCACCCCAAAAAGGCTATCGTCTCACAATATCAGCGGTTAAATGCAAAAGATACTTTTTTTTTGAGTTAGTTTTAGACTAAGTGTTCTGAGTAGTAAATATGGATTTCTTTTGTTAGCAGTCGTACGCTCTTAGTTTATGTGGTTTTTGCGTGATTTAAATAATTATTATTTCTCTCAGGTCAATCTATACCGGAAGCTGCTTTCTGGAGTAACGAACAGCCAATACCTTTCAAAGACGAGAAACCAATAAATGAACAAATTGCTTGTGGTGCTATAGATGTTACTTCTGACAAACCTGAGCTTTCAGTTGTTTCGTGTGAGGAGAAATATCCATCCATTTGCGAAAAACCTGCACCAGATGAAGAGAGCGTTGAGGACTGATGACTAAATCTGCAGTGCTACTAAAGATTGCATTAAATGATATAGCCCACGTTTTTTAGACAACTCGCAATAAAATTCCATATTATACTGACCGTCTTCAAAGAAGGCCTTGCATGAAGTAGGAAGATCACAAACGTCTGTACACTTCATAAAGTTTGTAATGAAATTTTTGTGTGAGTTTGTTGGACGAGCTTAGAGTTTCTACTCCATCAATGCATTGGCTATGTGCTATATAATCATTAAATAATAAATTACCCATGACACAAGATGTGCCATTATAATTATCTGTTCTGATTTCGATATATTTTCAAAAACTTTAAACTGTGTTTGCTTCAATATTAGACATAACTGGTTGAAGACTGTACCACCTCAGTCAACCGATGGGACCTGTAAAGGGCCCGAAACGTCGGTTTGTTTGAAATAACAAATATACGCGATTTAAATCCGGAAAAATAGTTTTATTTCCTCTGTGTTTTACTGTTATTCTTTTCGATTTGCATCAATCAGCCTTTCAGGTTAATTGTTCTTAGTGCTGTGCACGTGTGTTTTACACATTTGTTGCATGATAAGAATTGTGTTAAATTGTCTTGTCTGGAAGGTATACTGATTATGTTATTTTAATTATCTATGACGTATGTGTCTGTCATAGTAACTTAGTACATACATTAAATAATAATAAGGCTAATCTTATTCATGACGTTAATTAATAAATCAATATACAGTTTATTAGTTGTCAACAATTTTTTATTCACTTTGACTTAGAAATTGTTAAATAATATTACCTTTTTACTTTGGCGTTGGATTACAGTTAATTTATGTGCGCGTTTACTCTAAGTTTAGTTCTGTCGCCAAATCCGATGTATCCAATCAGAAGTCATTATTTCGCCTGACCTCAAAGTATTGGCCTCTGATGGGCCATTATTAGCCCATCATAGGCCAATATTAGAGAATTAAAAATTTAGAAATAGAAGTTTTGTTATCCGTAAACTTACTGTTACCTCTCAAAGTAAATTAACTAAAGCCTCTCTACGAATGTCATTGATATCTCTTATATTTACAGAATAATCGCCGGGGTAAACTTAACGCTTACACCCTATATATCTGTCCATGGATGGACATTTAAAAAGATAAGCTGATGTAGAGCTTACATAGCAAATGGAAACCCATTGAACGCTTATAACTGTTTGAGTTTCATCATAACATAGTTAATCAAAGTTATAATAGGATCCAAACTAAATTATTTACTTAACTATACTATTAGTTGGAAATAATACAATCAATTTGTTTGGCGAGGTGACTGGAATCGTGTCATATTGAGCCTTCGTCATCGATGCATTAGCTGACTTTCCCAAATATTTCTTCTCTACATGACGCTATTTAATTTGGACCGCTTTCTCATAAAAGGCATACAGAGCGTCGTGTTGACTTCCGACGAACGGTCGAAATACGATGATAGCGCTACGGGGCTTAGAGGGAAAGAAGTTTGTTTAAATTCAAATTCATTTTAGTTAGGCAACTCTAAGAGCTTTCACCATGTTGAAGTCTTCGGCCACTGGATGGCTGGCAGCTTACTATCAACTGCCAATTGTTAGTCAACCCGTGACCATGGCGCGTGTAACCGTTTTGGAATATCGGAAGAATAAAGACGAGAAAACGATAATCGTTTCTTGAATTAAATTTCTATTTAATTCCACAAGTATAAGTTTGGATTTTTAGAGCAGATCGATAGACCTGGTGGCGACAGGTCATACTTAGATTAAAAAGATGAGTGCTGACAATCGTCGTCATCTGGCGTCGTCAGCTGGGTATAGACTTTCCGTAGTACATGCCATCAACCAAGATGGCGCTAGTGTTACCGATTTACGGCCGTGACTTCAGCTATGTCGTCTACCCGTCTTGTTACAGAATATGACACTTACCACTACTTGGCTATCATTTAATTGTCGCTTTACTCCATTCGTCATCGCGCCTCACAATATGTCCTGCTCTGTTCCATTTTGGCTCCACTAACTCTGTCTATGTCTGATGCCGAACATGACACGCTCCATGACTCTATAGGTACATAGCTTTCTGTATGAGCATCCACGTCTCGGTACCGTAGGTCAAGGAGGGCAAGACACATTGTTTAAATAAGCGAGTCTTTAAATATTGTTGGTAATAAGATTACTCTGCCTATGATGAAAGCTGATGCCCAACCAGGTTCTCAAAGCATTGTGGAGAATCGGCACCAGTGGGAGATGGTGTATAAACAGGTTTTTAGAAGGTTTTAGAGAGATGAAAATGTGTCTAAAAATGGTTGTCATGGTCTGTGAAGTCCCAACTTATATGAGAACAGCTTTTGCAGACTATAGCCTCTTCTTTCTCTTTAGATGAGACCCAATAGCTGCACGTATATGGGTTGATAGAAGATGCGAAAGGATTCCTCTCTTTTTTAATGGTACGCAGCCTGCTGATATAAAACAACACCATAGTGATCTAGATGACAGTAACGGATACGGTAATGTCTGTGGATTTAAAATTATGCGGTATGTTCACAATGTCCATTTTATGTTGTGCATGGAAAAGTAATGCAGTCACGCTAAGCGTTTGGTCAACCGAGTCTCAGAAAATAAAGTGGTTGGGCCGAATAAATGAAATAAATGCCCGCATCGCGTGGCGAAACCGGAAACATTATTCAAACGAATCCCCAGGATTTACCGGGAGTCCCGGGAATCTCCTTACATTACCGTTGAATTGTTTTTCATGGAAAGAAACGATGAAATGAAAAATTTTTATAGTACGTGTAGATTGATCAATGAGGTTTTAACCACAAAAGCAGTGGTCAATAAATCACTTTTTAGAACAATGTAAAAAAAGATATGATATGTTTGCAGTGTTATAAAAAAATACGTTTAAATTACACATGCCGAAAATTTGTATATTGGAAAACAACGTAAAAGATTCATACGAATCGTGTGGCTAAATATCTCGCACATACCAATTTGATACGAAAAAGTGGAATTCATTCCCCATTTTCTGCTAAATCACGACAAAAAAAAACAAACAATGTAGTGATGTATTAAATAAGTGCCTGTGGTGGAAGGAAGACAAAGCCTGAATAATGTGTTGTCAGATATGGGCCAAATCTCGGAATTTTGATCCCGGTTATTTATATAGCTCTAGGGCTGGCAAATGTGAATTATCAAAATATTAGATAATATGGAGAATATATATTTTTGATTGTATTTTCTGAATATATATTTTCGTACGATTAGTATTAATTGTTTTTATTGTTGTTATTTCAATATACAAATTTTTGGAATGTATAATTTAAACACACTTTTTGATAACATAGAAAACCATTCGACCCGTTTTTCTATCGTACCTTCGTTAACCTGCGTCTATTTTCAATCATCATGCAGCGTGCGATACGTTATTTTTGGTCACGTGCCTCGTAGAGATGCTGATAACCTGGAGCGTTTGATGGTGACAGGGAAGGTGGAAGGAAAGAGACCTAGAGGCAGGAGTCCCAAATGGTGGTCGAATCAGATCTGCGATCCATGCGAACCGATGGAGACAGGTAATTGGCAGGATGATTAAGAAGAAGAAGAAGAAGAAGAATATTTGTACTATTTTTCTGCTAGAATTTTCATCATATATATTTTAGGATTCTCGCTATTAATATAAAACTAAATCACTATCACTACGTTTGCGATTGTCTGATTTGTTAGATCCTTGTTTGAAAGTAATTTAAAAAGAAACATACAAGTTCTTAGGATGTCATGAATACTACACATTGGAAATAAAATTGTTTTTAAAAAAAACCGAGTTCCTTACACAGTTCATGGTCATTGTAGGTGAAAAACACAATATAGGCTATTTAGATCCAAAAAATGGTATAATTTCCAATTGAAAAGTGACAGTATAGTTATTCTATGATTGTCAACTTCTAACTATAACGTGTATATAACGTGTGTTTCAATAAATATATCATGAATTATTTCACGCTCTCTGTGTTCCAATGTGTCCAAATATAAATTATAATTATGGATTTGCTTTGTTGATACGAAAAAATATGTTTCGCTCTGTTGGGTGAGCACTTTTGATAAATTTGCTGGTTGCCGTGTTGAAAAGCGAATAATGGAGTGTCAAGTAGATTGCGAAAATTTTTGGTTTTTCATTACCTCTCTCTTGTCATTATGAAAACAGACTATAAATCAACGCCGTAATATAGTGTGGGTCTGCTTGGGAATAAGCGTTATTTTGTGGGAAGGGAGAAGCTTGTGATTCTGCAACTTGTAGCACTTTTCTAACGGCCGTAATGTAGAAACCTTTTCTCATTATCTCAACTTTCCCAAGCGTCAACCCTGAGTAAAGCCGAGGCAAGATTTCAAGGACACAGTATTCAATGGAGACCAGGTTTTATGAAGATATATCGTCAGTGAAAGGCTTTTTCGCTTTTTCACTACGTACTGTTCTGTATTACAAAATTAACTAGTACCGTGGGGGTATACTTATTTCGCAAAAACACCAAACAAAACTTTATAACCTTTAACTATATTTTAATTGAATAAAACAAAGTAATTTTTTTAAGAAGTATAAGTATTTTGTATTCAAAGCAGTTGTACGATACTAAAGCCTCTCTAGGAATGTCAAATTAAAAATTTTGTATATTTCTAGTTTTATTTTTAATACGTTCTGTACTTCCGACGTCAGTCCAAAGATTTTTGATATCTCTTATATTATATATAATGCTTGGGCACACTTAACGATTACACCCTGTATAGCCATACAACTTAAAACTGGATACAACACACGACCTAACAACACAAGACGTGAGTTAAGTCTTTCCACTCCGCATTGAACTGACGCCTCATTCTAACATACTTTAAAGATAGATGGCGAGCAGTGAACAGTTCAGATTTATGGAACTAGTGTTAAAAGCACAATTCACCTTAAAATACTCAATTCTATTCGCAGGTTATTTTAAAAATTGATCGTCTGAAGATATACGAGCTGAG